TGGGGAATTCTGGGAGTTGAAGTCCACACATCTTAAAGCTGCTGAGGTTGAGAAACATTGGCCTAGATTGATATTGCTGAGGCAGGAATCAGAGCCATCTCTATCCTTACCTGTGTCTTTTCTTCTTTGAAGATATCCTGCAAAATATACATATATAAATATATTTAAATTTGCAAATGGGAAAATGAGGCACAGGAAGATTGCAAGATTCAGCAAATATTGTGATTAAAATAGGCTTTAAATAAGATTCCTGCTATTCCAGAATCACAGGACTACATTTCAGTGGAACGCCCACATGAACTTCCTCCCAGTAAAAGTAAGATTTTGAAATAATAGAAAGCCTTTCCTCTAATTCAAAGAAATGCCTCAGGGTGGTATATCTCAGCCCTTACCTGAAGGGCTGTAGTTCTGGTTTCCATTCTGAAAATCTCTCCCCAACTCTTTCTTGGTATGCTCTGACTTACTGAATAACTCTGAATAAACCAGGCAGGCATTCCTTAATCCCACCCAAGCAGAAGACACAGCCATTTTTTTTAAAAAAGTTTGATTTTTAAAGTCTACATGTGCAAATTAAATCAATAGATACCAAATAGCAAAAAACTGTCACTGCACTTTGTATATACAGGCAAAGAACTTGAGAAGTCACCCAATTCTTCTGCCTCTGCAATCCCACATCTGCTCTTCACGGCTGGATTTCCGATCCCAGAACCCGCTGAATTATATTAAATAAAAGTCCAATTGGATCCACTCCTGGAAAAATAATGTACCATGGAAAGGTGTACCTGTTTCTTTTCCTTTTCTTTGAATTCTTCTTTTTCTTCTTCTTCTTTGGAGGAGAAACACTGTAGGATGGAGATCTAGGGAGAAGTGAAGAGAGGTTGCATTTACTTTGATAAATTAACATTTCCGATGAATTTAGACAAAGAGACACTGTTGTGGAAATTAGCAAGCTTTGCATGGGCTGCTGCTAAATAGAGAGAATATTTTATCAAAAGTTCCTAATGTTTTCTAAGATTTTACCTGCTATAACAACACTATTTTAATGTGTTTAATGATTTTTGTAATTTTAATGTATTTTATTAATGTTTGGCCACCTTAGTGCAGGTTTATGACTGGTGATCAAAACAATAAATACATTGATTGACTGGTTGATTTTGATAAGTGTGCAGAGAAATTTGCAACTTGAAGTGGGTGAAAAGAACTACGTTTCTTTCACCTCTTTCAAGATACATCCAGATTAACATTTCCCACCAGCCAACTCTGTACCAACTAAACTATACAAGGATGACTAAGATTTCGATTTTCTGGGACAATATTTTTCTCAGACACATAATAGAATCAGTACTACTTAAGCTTATTGATGGACCTGGCTTAATTAAACCAAGGATCCATTTCAGCTTCGTATCCATTTTCTCACCGATGATGATGATGACATTGCAATTATTACAATTATAATAATACTATTAGTATCAAGCTGGTCTAATTTGAAGATGGTAGGGAAACAGAAAGCAATCTGGAATAGATTAGAGCTGTGCAAATCTTTTGAAAGAGGACTGATAGCAGAATTGTTCCCAAAAGATACAAAAACGGGAGTGAAATGTTACTCGTAAAACAAAATGCACGTTTTTGTTTCTTCTTTCACAAACGGTAACCTCAAACTGATGGGGAAATGGAACCAACTGGATTGAAGACTGGAAAAAAATGAGAAAGAAGGATAAATTGGGACTGTCATACAGTATTTTCCTAAAGTGAATTTATTTGGCCAATTTACGGTCAAGTTTTAGATATTGCCACTCATTCGTTTATTTTCTTAACTGTGACTGTAATCCACTGTGAACTGATTGCCCAAATATTGTTTCCACTCATTTCATTTTTTTAACAAAGCGAACTCTGTTTTCTTGCGTGGAAGAAATATGCC